TTTCTTTCCTTCACCCACATGTTCAATTATATATATTATTATATTCTATACCAATATTTTCCAATGTAGGGAAACAGATATTACTTAGTTTATTTTTCTGACATTGTCGTTGATATATAGTTTAATTTACAAAAAATATTATAGGTAACGTATGCATCTCGAGGAAACATGATCAAACTTTGGTGGGAATTTCCTACTCGTATGTGGGTAATATGATTGGTACGTTCGTCTTTGACAAAATGTTATTTATATATAGTTAGTAATAAACATTTTGGTATTGCTATTTCTCGGACAACTGTGAAATTAGCATTCAACGATCGATCAGAACTATCTGATTCTCTCATCGAGATTCATGTAAGCAAAGATACTCATAAAATAGCTGTGAAAATTGACCCAAGAGTGACTTTTTTTGTCCATTCATTTGCATCAAGTTTCATTTTAATCTGACGGTAATTTGATTTTTTAAATTTTATTATTGTATTTCATGTTCAGTATAATTTATATGTAAATCCCATTTCTGAATCTAATATGATAAAAATAATTTTCTATTTATTTTTACTCATATTTTTGAACTGCAGATATAAATTTAGTTTTATTCTTTATTCACATAATGAAAAATATGTTTTTATTTTTGTGAGCAACCTGACTAATAACGTTTGTCCTTCGATTGACCCCTGATCAAATGTGCAGATTCTCTAGCTTAAAGCGACAGTAACATTTATGTAATATTTTGTTTTGTTGGGTCAATCATTTAGTTTTGAGCTATGTGCTTGCTATAGTTTTTTGACATCAAACTTATTTGCACCAATCTATCAACGTATGCTAACATAAAAGAATAATACAAAGTCTAGCGTCCAATCCGTAGATGCAGACACTCGGCAACTTTTTTTAGGCTAGGGTTGAGACATCGGTAGCTTAGATGCACGTGAGTTTATTCTTCTCTCAACAAAAAAAAAAGATGCACGTATTGCTCTACTCTCTCCTTTTGGCTCTGTACATCGTATCGTTGTTACCTTCAAACGAAATTTGAAATTATTTTTTTATTCATAACATATATGTAGGTAGTACCTGGAGACATATTGTACAAAGTTGATGATAACGCTGTCATGACTTTGGTCTGTTGGGAGTCCCGGCATCTTGAGCTTTGCATTGGATGTGTTGCTATCCCGCCTTCGATTCACCGGCCCACGTGCCTCCAACGTTGCCGCGTATAGATTTGTTGTTGCCATGCGTAAGATCTCGAGGACGTGTGGCGATGCAGTATTCACTGATGTACCTCCGACATTGCCGCGTATAGATGTGTTGCTGTTGCGCCTTTGATCTCCGGGATGTGCGCTGGTGGCGTTGAGTGTTCGACTTTTCGCCAATGTGCATCCGACATTGCCGCGTCTAGATTTGTTGTTGTTATGCCTGCAATCGACGTGTGGCGGCGGCCTCAAGTGTTCGCCGATGTGCTTCCGATATTGCCGTGTACAGATATGTTGTTGCTATATGCGTTCAATCTTCTCCGGGACGTGCCACGGCGGCCTGGAGTGTTCGCCGGGCTGAGGTGTGCAGTTCTCAGCTTACACGTTTGTATTCTTGCTGGAAATCAAGTTGTTTGTGTGTTTTAATAAGAAATACATCAGGTTAGTTGTGCGTGTTCCAGTTAGAAATCAATCAGGACTCCTTCCTTATTGGACGTATTCTTTACGGAGATCAGTCAATCGTACTATGTTTGACGGGTCGTCTGTTTTGGTCTGGTACATGTACGTCTGTTTTGGTCTTGTACATGTACGTGTAATGCACGTGGTTCAAACATCTATGCTGTAATTTTCAAAAAAAAAAACATATATGCTGTAAATCTCTACCGTTGTTTTTTCTTAACTTTAGAACAATTAATCTTAACCGTTCGTTTTCTATCGTTTTAATTATATAATAGATAGATGTCAGATGTCGAGCAAGAACTGCATCACACCTCCACTCACCATTTTTCTCCTTGAACAGTTTTCTCCATGGCATCTGATGAGCAGGAAAAAGAGTTGTCTCGCATAAACAATAGCTAGGTGGCCCGTCAACCCCGCCGGTCACGAGCCGAGGAGTGGCGAGTTGCTCCAGGTCGACACTGAGAGGGACCACAGTGGCACGGGCATCATGGCTGCCATTGATGGTGCCATGTTGTACCGCCCCTCCCGTGCCTGTGAGCGCGTCATCCGATGTCAAAGCGCGTGTCACCGCGTCCTGACTACAGAGAAAGAAGCGGGCTGCATGGACATCGACGAGGTGGTGTCCAACACGTCTGCGCTCGCCACAATAGTCGAGGAGAAGCTGTCGCTTGGGTCCCATGAATGCCATATTGAGGTGACACCAGCGTACACAGCCGGTGTCTTGCCCTCTGGCAGGCCACCACCGTTCCCAACCCAAAACCAACTCTGACCTATGTAGCGTAGGAACCCTTTCCCATTGGCAGAAGCATCAGTTGGTTGTTCCACTCCGATGAGTGGTAGGGAGGCGAGCTGCTCTTTGCGTTGAAGCATATACCTAGGGCTCACAGCTGCCGGACATGGGGATGACATTGGAGATCCGCTGCAGCCGGCAGTAGACTAGTCAAGGGTATCCATGTCGCCGGAGGATATTCGTCGTCGCCGGCGCCGGCTGTACAGTTTTTAGTTAAAAATATGTCCAAAATGTAAACATTTTTGTCCGGTTTGTATGGAATCCACTGTGTTTGCATGAATTTCATTCGATTTTTTAAAAGAAGTGTTCGAAATATATGCGGACAACATTGGATGGCCGATTCCTATATCCATATCCACGGACTGATCCCTTGTCCGTGGACGAATATGGGAGAAAATTTACTGGTCGCCGTTGGAGATGCCCTAATCAAAGGCATTTCCTCCAGGCGTACTAGCAAACATGCCTTTCCTCTACCCGGTCAGACCATTTTTGCTGGCCAATCAAGAGTTGAACTTCGGAGAGAATACATATACGTGTTCTTTGTGTTTAAGCGCGTGCTGATCCAAGGAGCTAGCCTCCAACTCTATGAAAGAGCCAATTTGTATGATAATTAACTACAAGTTGATGATGGCATGCTGAGGATCAACAACGAATCAAGGACCAGCATCTTTTTATCTTGCACTTCTTAATTTGTACTACACATCTGCGTAGCAAGCATCAACTTTTTTGTCATTAACTTCGTGTAAATGGGTTTATTTGGTGTACATAATTCAATAACTAGGAGTAAGCACTCGCTTCCTACATGGTGTATGCTACACCGAACTGAGTACCAACCGTTGTTTATGGCGGTGTGTATGCGGTTGGAGCAAGTGGCCAGTGAGGTTTTACTCAACATGGATGGCAGAATAATCTCCGGATCGCTCCACCACCTCCTTCAACAGAGGCATAGCGGTCCTATATGACTCATTGTTGTCGACATGGATGGCAGTATTTTGGGACGGAGGGAGTAGCAGAGAACATTTGGTCATGGGTATGGTAAAGAAATGACATTTCTTCTGTTCAATTGTTGTACAGAGCCGAGATGAACACAAGGTATTGTGTGGTAGCTGGACTATCTAGTTCATCTAATGGGGAAGAAAAATGTAAAAGGCAACGAAAGCTTAGGGTACAATCCAAGTTAAGAGTATTTTGGTGCAGAGTAATTAAAAACATCCTACCTTCATATGCATAACTAAAAAGGCATGTGATGGGGTTATGTGTGTGCCCTATGTGTGGCCTTGGTGAGGAAATGTTACTTCATATGCCCTTGTCACACGTGAGCATGCAAGTTTATTCTTGGATTCTTTTTGAGAATATTTTGACATAAAACTCCCAAGGTTGCACCCGAAAACATGGTCAAGAGATATCTTCGATCCATATTTCCTTGATGCAAGGAAGAGCACTATTAATGCTTCAGTTATGTGGCAGATTTGGAGTAGCTGCAATGAAGATACTCATGTTGAGGAGAAGTACAAGCCACAAAAATCAATGTAAGTGACTGATGAATTGAATGCTTCTTTGGAAATAATTGATCAAGGGCAAGCCAAGGATGTGGATAGTCCTCACTATCAATGCTCAATTTGAAAGTCCAAGAAAATACTTTAATTAAATTCAAGTTTCAGATTCATTTTGTTATCTTTAGATTAATGCACATAAACATCTAACTAATGCTTAATATATATAATTAGGGGTGAACTTGTGAACGGGCACATGAATGGAACTCAAACAAACAATCATATGCAGACAAGACCTGTGTTTGTCTTTTATTTCCAAGTTTGAAATAGTCTAGTTCGGGTTCTTACATGATAGTGCATGTCACTTTATTTTTCACCGCTACAACGACCAAACCATGTTTTAAGAAAACGGTGTTTCATATATCTAGTAATAGAGTTCTTCTCTTCTCAGTTAGTACTCATGATGCCAAATGGCGCAATGGTGGTCGAGCAATATGGAGGGATGTAGACATTGCACATTGCTGGTAGCGTCTGCAGCGCTAGGTTCCTTATTTCCTCGAACTGCGGCAGTTGCTGAGGTTGGACAAAGCCCTGGGCCTGTGGGTTTTGCTGAGATGGCTGGAAGAAGCCCTGGCCTGATGGATATTGTTGCTGAGGCTGCTGGTAGGAGACCTGGCTCGACGGTTGTTGTTGTTGTTGTTGTTGTTGTTGTTGTTGTTGTTGTTGTTGTTGTTGTTGTTGTTGTTGTTGTTGTTGATGCAAAATAATAGCATGAATGACATTGTGGATGGCTTGGCACCGTGACTGCTCGGGGGTCTGCCACAGTTGCTGACAACATAATTGTTGCAACAGTTGGTAACTTTGTTGCGATACTTGTGAGCTTGCATGTGCTATATTGGGTTGTTGCAAGACGACATCCCTGCATGGAATCAGTTGTTGTTGCAGAATTTGTTGAAGGATTTGTTGTTGTTGTTGTTGTTGTTGTTGTTGTTGTAGTTGTGCTTGTTGCTGCGAAATTGGTTGTTGTGGTTGCGGATATTGTGGTTGTGGTTGTGGATATGATTGTTGTGGTGGAAATGGTTGCGGCTGCGGATATGGTAGTTGTGGCAGAAATGGTTGCGGCTGCGGATATGGCTGTTGTGGTGGAAATGGTTGTTGTTGCCCTGGAAATTGTTGTTGTTGCTGCCCTAGAAATTGTTGTTGTTGCACCAATGGAACTTGCTCTTGTGGTTGTTGCTGAGATGGATTTTGTGGCTGCAATTGTGGCACTGGAACTCTAACTGCAGTTGTGGTGGTGGTCGCCACGATAGCAAGGAGGGCAAGGATGAGAAAGGTCTTCATGGTGGATTTGTATTGACCACTGCTTGCTTGGCTTGAATGATGCACTCTACTTATGAGAATGATGGATGAGGAAGGATGATCATCATGCTACAGGCCTATTTATAGCTGCCATGGCATCATCTGCTTCACAATTGGCATTTGCTTGTCTGGAAAGTGCTTGGATGCTTCCTAAAATCATAATTTGGTATGTTGTGTTTGGTGGCACTATCATTCCACCACCAAAAAGTTGTGATAACACACATGACTCATCTTATTCACTTTACAACTCAAACACTAATCTAGATTGCCTAATTTTTTGAAACTAAATTTGTAATGTTTTGCAAGTTGTTATGTGTAAACTAGATAAGCATTGCTTGCGTAGAACTTAGTTTGTAATCTTGTGTGACCTGTTAAGATAGATGAGACTAGTAATGTAACTTGATTTACTAGGTCATGACTCATCAAATTCTTTTTACATGTCAAGTGTTTTAGCTTTCTAGAAGTTATTAGCAAACATCAATTGTGTAATGTTCTACAAGTTGTTACGTGTAAACTAGATAAGCTTGACTTGCACACAAAAAGGATTGTAATCATGTGTGACCTGTTAAGATAGATTAGAGTTGTCATAAAGCTTGCTTTGATAGACCATGACTCATCAAATTGCTTTTACTTATCTTAACTGTTGTATATGTTGTACAAGTTATTAACACTTATCACCTTGGTATGGCTTCCAATGTGTGTGCATGCCAAGGTATGTGTAGCTTCTATTCGTGTGTAGATTTTATTTTGTTTTACGCGAAATCATGCAAATGATCATCTATGGTAACGCTTGCGAGTGCAGTTGCAACAATGTTGGCAGGGTGGGAGGGCGGCTGTGGGATGGCATGAGTTCTTGTAACAACCTATAGTTCATTATGGTTTTTTTGGTGGTACCTACAGTTCATTATGTTTGGAAAGATATGTGTTCTGTTTTTCATGGGCGCTAAAAAACTTATGTTTTAAAATTTGCAAACTGGCCCTGTCTGTTCTATGGGCTGCTACTGGTGGCCAATTTGAAGACATGTGGTGCATTGGGCCTAGACGCTGCAGAGAGCCCAACTAGGCTCGCTCAGAAGGAAAAAAAACTCCCATGGATCACTCCCTTGACGACCTCCTTCCTCCCTCGAGAACTGGGCACGCTGCACACCCACTCCTCAACATGCACCACTACACCTCCCTTGCCCTCCCCTCACGCGTCGCCGCTGCCAACCACCTTGTCTTCCTCATGCCGCCTCACTACCGGCGTCCTCCCGTATCCTCTCCCCAAAGCCGTCGACTTCATCTCTCACCATCTCTTCCCCTTCTCATCAGAAGAGAAGAGGGAGATTTTTTTTTCTCAAATACAGAAGAGGGAGATCGACCAGGTCTGGCGCCGGCCATGGCAGCGGCCACATCTGCCACAGG